AGCCAATAATCGTTGGAACATCTCCTGGCAGCCTCTTGGACTTTACTGCGAGCAAGTTGAAGAGCCTGCTGAGTTGTACTCACTACGGCAGGCTTTGTATGCTGCTAGAGCTCTTCACTTATCTTCGATGGCTGACATAAACTCCTCTGAATGGGCTTTGAACCAGCCTGCTGTCTTTTTTACCTTCTTGCCAAATGTGGACAAGGCGGTGTTCTTGAAATGTTCTAATTGTTTAGGTGCATTTGCATCAGCCAGGCCTGGAAGGGTTTCCTCAAGCGCTTCGGCAAATTCTTCCACTTTTCTTTGATCATGAATCTTGCTGATGTCAATACATGATCTTCCTTCATTTTTCATGTGATACAATCTCTTCGCAGTTTTACTCTACTACACACCAGGGAGTGATCAGTATTACAGTCACCACTCTGGTAACTGCATGTGATTGTAATATGAGGAAGGCTAGAATGTCTAGTGAGGATCAAATCGAGCTGATGCCAATGCTTGGATCTTGGATGTCTCCAGGAAACTCTGTGTTGAAGCTTCGTATTAAAGAATGTGTTGCTGACACAAAGACCATAATAACAGCAAAACTCCAGCAAGCTTGGCCCTTTTTCGTTCATCTTCCCAATGCCAAAACGGCCTAGACAAGTGGGCCAAGAATTGTGATCAGCACCGACTCTAGCATTAAAGTCTACAAGAATTAACAGTGGCTCTCTCTCTGGGATTTTTTTGATAGTACCTGCCAAATCGTCATAGAATTAGTCTTTGACTTCTGTTGTGGATGACAGTGTTGGTGCATATACACTGATGAGGGTAACCGGTCCCACTGATGAGTGGAGCTGCAGAGACAGGATTCTTTCACTCCCCACAGTAGGTGGAACAATGGATCTCAGCAGAGGATTTCTGACTGCAAAGCAAACACCATGTTCCCTGGTCTCATTTATTGGTTTTCCCTACCAGAAGAATGAGAAGTTCTTTTCTTTGACAGATCCCGTGTCTGGCAATTTTGTCTCTTGCAGGGCAACAATGTCCATCTGCAATTTAACTCAGTTCCATGTCGATGACAGCTGTCTTGCGCACATCATCTATTTCCTGCAGGTCATCAGAAAAGCCAGGGGTCATTGTCCGAACATTCCAGGTGAAAACTTTAGGGCAGAAGTTTTCTTATGATTGTTGCATTGTGAATGGTTATCAATCTGCTTGTCGGCTTTCACCCTAAACCCTATGCACCCCATGAGGTTAACAGACCGTGGCAAAGTAGCATCTTACTGGCTGGGGACTGCCCAGCTTAAGGCGGGCAGTAGCTGCCTATTGAGGTGCAATGACCTCTCCCAATGTCAGAAGTAGGCCCTGGCGTCATGCTCTACGCCAATCGAGCAAAAACTTATAACCGGTAACTGCTACTTCCCGTGTTGTTTCAACTGTGTATGCAAAGCTGGAGTGTCCTCTCCAGAGCATGAAGCCTGGGTAAAATAATATGGAGAATAGGCTATTACCCAAGCAGCAAATCCCCCCTCTCCACGTCACTGAAATAGTCCAGTGGAAAGGCAAGAGCCAATACATCTGATTCCAGCGACGTTGCAGGAGTTGCCAGAAAATGAACTGCCTCCAGGACTCCAACTCCGGATTTTGCCTCAAGGTTAATTTCGGAAGCCTTTTCCATCAGTGGATATAGCCACAAGGCAGTGGAGGTTTGAAATCAGAGTTTTCCTTTTCCTAGATGGGCCCCACCTACTGAGCCTGCTCCCTAATAGTGTGCAGATTAGAACACAGACCTCCAGCTGCCGGACCTTGTCTTCCAAGAGGACCACCAACTAGCACTTACAGCATTTCTACCCAGGCACCTCATTGGCAAGAAAACAAGTGTGCCACAGGTGTTACAAGTGCAACAGATCCTGCACTCTCCACCTCGACTGATTGCTCAGTGAATTAAAAAAAGAGAGAAAGTCTGATCCTACCCCTAAAACTTTCCTGCCCCCCAGGTGTATGCAATGCTATTTGGCTTTCCTATTTACCAGATTAGAGTAAAAAATAGAATCAAAGAATTTTTCACGCCATTAGGTGCGCATTTCTGCTCGGACTAATTTAAAGCCAAAACCCCGCCCCTTCAGACCCATGCAGACAGGGAGAACAAAGGTAAGCCTGGAAGAAAATATCTCAGTGAATAAAATGTCCCCCCAAACACAGCTCACCTCCTGCCTCAGCTTCCTCTTCAGGAAAAGGCCTGACCACTGCCTTGGGTTTGGGAGAGAAGCGGTGGACTGGTGAACAGCGGGAGTCAGCTTCTGGGATTTTCCCTTGTGTGATGTCACTCTGTGAACTGTAGTGGTGCTGGGCGACTCCTGCTCCACCCCTTGACCTCTTGGACACTAGAGTGTCTCTGGGTTCCATGATTTCCCATACTATTTCACACAGTTACAAGACGGGGGATACCTGGCTCAGCCATACTAGGAGCAAGAAGGACCTTGTATTGTCTTAGATTACAAGTCGAAGATGAGCCAGTAGTGTGATGTGGCTGCAAAAAAGGCCAATGTTATCGAGGCTGCATTAAGAGAGGTAGAGTCTCCAAACCCCATGAGGTGCTAGTTCCCCTCTCCTTGGTAAACCTAATCCTCCTAGTTTCTGATATTAATACCAGTACTTTTATTAATCCTTGCTTTTTCATCACCACTTCAAATTCTATTAATTATGTTTTGCCAGTCTTTCAGATCTTCCTTTATTGGTTTCATCCTAAAAAAAAAATAATTTTAGGTATTTTATTTATTTAATTTATATGCCACCCACACTACCCAAAGGTCTCTTTCATAGTGCATCAAATTAGGCTTTCCTTACTACCCTCTCTTATGAATTATCCTTCATATTTCCATCAGTTCTTTCTCCATTTTCTCTAATATATATGTTGTAAAATTCCTGTACGTAACCTCCACCTCCTAGCTTCTTTATAATCACATGTACCCTTAAAATCCATATTCACCAATGTGTGATGTGCTACTTTTATTATCCCTACCTCTATCATACAAGCTCTAAATAACTTTGCTACGGAATAATTTCTAATCCATATTCTCAAAGTTCTTCTTTCTCTTTTCACGGGTTCACCATTTTTAATACATTGACAGACTTGCAATGCCTTTAAATTAAGTACAGTGGAGGAAATTTGCTGAATTCAACCTTGAAACCTTTCCAGTAAAACCTCAGTTGTGATTTGAATGTGTCCCTGTATTTCTGAGTAAGCTGGTTGGATAGCTTAGTGATTTGGGTATCTGGTTGCAGAGCCAGAGGTAGGTGTTCAGTTCCCCACTGTGCTTCACAAAGCTAAGGTCAGCCTGTGTGGCCATCAGGAAACTGCACAGTCCCAGGAGCAGGGAATGGGGAATGATTTATGAGTATTCCCTACCTTGAAACCCCTGAAAAAAAGGGTTGCTTTAAGTGAGAATTGACTTGATGAACCATGTTTACTATTATTTTGGATAGTGGTTAGTACTAATCAACTGTCTCTTTGGGAAGTATCAATTCAGGCAAGTGGAGTTCATGCTGTTTTCACAATACAGCTAATTATTCAAATGTTGCCAGTAAAGCCTTTAGGAGACATATGCCTTTCAAGGGGTCAAAGACAAAGCAAACTCTTTCGTTTGACTTCCAGTTAGATTACACTCTGTGCTGCATTCTTAAGAAATCTTTTTTCCCCATTAGGTAACAAACACGATGGCCAGAATTATACAGAGTCTTTTCTTCTGGCTCTCAAAACAGTTAAGTGTGCAGCTCGGAAGAAAAGCTTGCAAAAACCCCTGAGCTAGAGGAGAAACGGCTTAAACACCTGAAGTGTGGAGACTGCTTCAGACCAGTGCCGCTAGTTCAGTTTAAAGAACTCACCCCAGGGAGAAATCATAGAAAAACATGGAATGTGAAAAGAGTTTCAGTGGGGGAAGAAACCTGTGTTCATCTCAAAGAACTCACACTGAGGAAAAGCCATATAAATGCTTAGAATGTGGAAAGAATTTCAGTCAGAGAGTTCACCTTATTAGACATCAAAGAATTCACACAGGAGAGAAACCATATAAATGCATGGAATGTGGAAAAGGCTTCAATCAGAAGGAGAACCTGAATTCACATCAAAGAATTCACACAGAAGAGAAACCGTATAAATGCATGGAATGTGGATTGACATTCTGTCAGAGGAGCAGCCTGAATAAGCATCAAAGAAAGCACACAGAGGAGAAACCGTATAAATGCATGGTATGTGGCAAGAACTTCAGTCACAGCCATAGCCTTAGTTCTCATCAAAGAACTCACACTAGGGAGAAACCATATAAATGCATGGAATGTGGAC